TACAATGTCAGCAAAATGATAAGAGAGGAGAATGCTTACTCTTATCGGTTATATTCGTCCCTGTTGCGTTTTAATCAGTTAAGCAATCTTTGAGACAGGAATGGTGCCACTAGGATCCCAAGTATTAGATTGGATCACACATTACACGTTTTCAGTAGATGCTTTTTTTATCAATGCATATGAATAAAAAACGCATAAAACTAATCGATTTTTCTAAAAGTGTAGATTAACGCGGAAAAAGCTATAACTTTTTAGGCCTTGTAATATGTGTCTGTGCATGCCTTAACAGACCAAAACATTCCTGTTTATCCAAATTTTTTAATCTGATTTAATGTAATTTTAGACATTAATATCTTTATTAAGGAGTCGAAATGGACGCCAGGATCACCAGCATCCGATTGATTAAAGCAACTATAAATGTGGAAAAGTTGTTATCTACAATTTAGTGGCTCTCACAGGTAATCCAATATGTTCATGTGTTCCTAGCGTGTGTCTTGTGATACTCAGCCCTCTAAAATTTAATCTTGACTGGAAAACACACTTGATACCGATTTTGCACATAGGCATCGTCTACTTCGATTACTGTCAGTTCATCGGTCACGCATTTCCCGAATATTCGCTCATAACCAAAGCCAGCCTGCAATATAATAAAAATTGTCGTGAACGGAACCCTTTCTTCAAAAATACTTCAGGACCAGCAGGGAATTGAGCCACCTCCTTTTACGTCCGGACACAATGTGTTACCACTACACCACTGGTGCTTGTGCTTCAAGTTCAGCCTGGCAGCACATCTGCTGTGTATTTGCCTTCTAAAACAAGGTACACCTCCCTTTCATCTCTTTTGCATTATATCGACCTCCTGGTTGGATTTTCGCAAGTTTTCCGCGATGGAAATGTTCAAAACCAAACAGTAAGACTTCCACCGTATTCACTTTCTGTGTGAGGCGGATGAGCTCGAAAATATTCCGAACAGGGGGCCCAAAACAACAATAACTGCTTTATCGTTAAGCGCGTTTTTCAAAAACAAGCTTTGACTTTGCGGCATACGTCAATAACAAACAGTTTATCATCGGAAGCAGTGATGAGACAAAGTAGCTTTGCGGAACCGATCCCTCGATCTCCCTGCTTTTCTATTGCGCCACATCCACAGGACTAAAGAGGCTCAGTCTAGTGTCGTTAAACTCTGTTTGGTTATAATTAATATCAAAAATTACCCTTACCTGACCATGACTGATATGAATCTGCTGGTCTAGCACCGGTACTCGAGGGACCTTCTTTTTGATTAATTCTGCTCGACCGAGGTAATCATTCACAGCCTTTTCCATATAACCTTCTGTGGCTTGAGGGCACTCACCAGCTAGAATGCAAAAAACACTGTAGACATCGTCCGTTTTGCAAACTCTTGAGTTAACTGGAATAAAATTGTAATCTGAATGGAAGTAACTGGTTTGAAATTTTGAGATTACATGAGCGAATGAGTGGGAAAGGGCCTAAAATGGCGAGAGGGAAAAAGACGAGTTTACAAAGTCATCGTTTAAACACTTCACAGGATTGATCCGTGGTAATGTGAATTTCGACTCCACCAAATCTTCGTTGCCTCTGAGTT